GTTTCCTTCTTTAGAGACTGTGCTTTCAAGTATTTTTCTCAAAATAAACTTCATTTATTATATAATCATTTCTTTTGGAATTGCAGCAATCTCATAACTACCAATCAGAACTTATGATCAGCATCGTCACAACTGACTTGCCATATTTTCAAATTACAAACAAAAAACAAAATGAAAACAATTGCCCGCCATCCATTCCACTGTTTTATCTAGTGTGTGTGTGTGTGTGTGTGTGTGTGTGTGTGTGTGTAAGGGGAGAGTGGGGGAGGAGAGATCTATTTTTATTTTTTTAATATATATTTTTTATTTTTCAATTATAGTTGATGTACAATATTATATTAGTTTCAGGTATACAGCCTAGTGAGTAGACATTTACATAACTTATGAAGGGATCACCCCATAAGTCCAGTATTCACCTGACTATTACAACATTATTCACTGTATTCCCTCTGCTGTACTTTACATTACTGTGACTGTTCTGCAACCACCAATCTGTACTTCTCAGTCCCTTCACCTTTTCACCCAGTTCCCCAACCCCCTCCTTTCTGGAAATCATCAGTCTGTGTTTGTTTTGTTTGTTTGTTTTTGGTGTTTTGGGGTATTTTTTGCATCTGTTTCTGTTCTGCTTGATCATTTTGTTTTCTAGATTCCACATTTAAGTGAAACCATGTGGTGTTTGTCTGCTCTTCTATTTCAGTCATTGTGATACCATCTAGGTTCATCCATGTTGTTGCAGATACAAGATTTCCTTCGTTTTATGGCCATCATTTCCGTTGTGTACCTGCACCACTTCTGTATCCATTCATCTGTTGATGGACACTCAGGTTGCTTCCATATCCTGAGTATTGTAAATAATACTGCAATGAACATATGGATGATAGGTATATACTTATTGACATTTTATTATTCATAGTTTGAATCTTTTTCTTCTTGTTAAAGACCTTTTAACATTTCCTGTGATTAACTCTTTTAGCATTTCCTCCATGTCTGTGAAGCTCTTTATATGACCTTCAGTTCTAAATGGGAGCTTTGCTGGGTAGAGAATCTTCATTGTAGGTCCTTTCTGTTCATCACTTTGAATATTTCTTGTCATTCTCTTCTGCCTGGCAAAGTTTCTATTGAGAAATCAGCTGACAGTCATATGGGCACTCCCTTGTAGGTAACTAAATGCTTTCCTCTTGCTGCTTTTTAGATTCTCTTTGTAACCTTTCACATTTTAATTATGAATTGTCGTGGTGTGGGCCTCTTTGGGTTCCTCTTGTTTGAGACTTTCTGTGCTTCTTGGACTTGTATGTCTATTTCCTTCACCAGGTAAGAGAAGTTTTCTGTCACTTTTTCAAATAGATTTTCAATATCTTACTCCATCCATCTCCTTCTGGCACCCCCCTTATGCAAATGTTGGTGCTTGAAGTTACTCCTTACACTATACTCATTTTCTTAAATTCTTTTTTTTTCTTTCTGTTCTGATTGGGTGTTTTCTGCTTTCTTATCTTCCAAATTGCTGGTTTGACCGTCTGTTTCACTAATCTACTGTTGATTCTCTATAATGTGTTCTTCACTTCCGTTATTGTACTCTGCAACCCAAACCTTTTGGAATGGAGCAGAGGAATCTGCATTTTTATGCATCTCGAAGCTGTTTTTTCTATGATGTAAGTGTTACGGAAGCAAGAGGCTTCATCACATAGACTGCTGCTAATTATGATGTAAGAGTATGATGCTCACACGATTTCCACCTGTTTCCAATCCGCCAGCAGGACAGCCACGGGAGGGGAGGAGCACCTGCCACTCACTTCACCATGGGCCTGAGACCCCTGCCCTCGAAGGCTCAGCTGACACTTCCAGGGAAACACTGGCAGAGTGAGTCCTTTCTGATCTTTAATTCCACCCCCTCTCCCCCATTTGTCTGTTTCCTTTGATAATAGGATGGCTCATTTCATAGTCACTTATTCCCCTTTCTCTTCCCTGAACCTGATCTCAGTGACAGCTGCCACTTTCTCACTTGGCCTGGCCACCGCCTCCTCTCAGCCTGGCTGCTGCTGTGGGGGAAGAGACCAGAAACCGGAACAAAGCAGAAGTAGAGGCACCTGTGACCTCAGGCACCTGGGGGGTGACTTTGTTCTGTGCAATCATAGCACAAGGCACGAATCTCTCCTGCGCTTGTCCTGAGCTGCCCCACAGCCTGGCACAAACCTACATATGTAACTGTGATCGGTAAGTGCAGCTGCAGATGTTCAATAACAGGGTCTGAATGCACGAGCAGCCACAGAGCAATGCAGGGCAATGCCCTGTCTTTTGTGTTCCAGATGGCTCCCTGTGTCTCTCTCTTGCTGCCCTTCTTCCTACACAAATCTTCCTGCCACCAGAGGTCCTCGCCTGGGCATATGTTTTCTGATATTTTCTGAAATAACCTCTACTAACCACATGCAGTCCTGCTCCATCTATTTCTGTATCTCTTAACTTCCAGATTGTCTAGACTTAAAATATAGCTAGGTCATTGGGCAGGGAAAAATAAACTGAATTACAGTATTTTTTATTTCTTTGAAACACCTGCTTTATTCAAATAATACATGCATAGTCATTTTTTTTAGCAAACGAGGTCACCCCCAGACCCTTCTCTTTCGGGAAGAGGCTTTTGCCTTCTGATTTTATGTGTGGGCATTGCAGGATTTGGAGGCAAAGGTTTGGTCAAGTTATAAGATAGCAAGGGGTGATAGTTGAACTGTAGTTACAAAGAACTTCGGTCTTGATGCGTGTGAATGGCATGTTAGTGTTACTCATGTGATGTTGGCTGAGTCCTTATTGGTCTTTGAGCCTTGATTTTTTTTTAATCTGCAAACTCAGAAAGAAGAATTAAATTACCTTTCAGCTCCTTTGAAGGCATCTGAGTCTGCCTCTCACTCCACATTTGCAGTTGGGGGCCCACCTCATCCGGAGGCACCAGCTACTCTCCGTAGACCTGCCCAGCCCTGCCCTGATCACTGGCTCTCGGATAAACCCCGGGAACATAGCTGAGAGTGGGCGCTGCCAGGCCTGCTTCGTGCCTCCTCACCCGTGGTGTCAGGTTGCTCTTACCTGTTTCTGGGTCTGGCCTCCAGAACCAGTTTGGAGCCCCTTGAGGATGAAGACAGAGTCCCTTTTGACTCTCCATTCTAACTACAATCTGTAAACCTAAAACCAACTCCATGGGAGTAATGTATACACACAGAGTTGATTACATTAATGATTATGCTTTCAGAGCAGTCTTCACCAGGGTGTGTCAGAGCCCCACAGCATCAGGCGAAGTGTGGAGCTTAGACAGCTGTTTTCACTGTCCTGGGACCTAACTCCTTTTTAAAAATATCTTCTTATTGACTTTAGGGAGGATACTCACCCTGTCTGTCAGTTTTCTTCTTTGTGAAATAAGGTTGATGACATGACCCTGAAATACTATCCTGGATTAGATGGAATAGCACATACAAAATGCCTCCCACAAAAAGAGATAGAGGAAAGGTAGCTATCATTAATAGACTCATATTTGTGTTATAAAAAGAAAATTGGGGTGCAGGTATTTATTTTTAAAGACACCTTTTATATTGGTTATGTGTGGGTTGGAAACATCACAAGCAGGCATGAGTTAACATGGTTTTTCCTTTTAATTAAGAATAAATCAATGACATGGTGGGATGTGTGATTTCTTCCAAAGGGAACATGCCACAATCAATAGCATTTTTAATTTGAGTGAAGCACAGAGTTGGAATCAAAGCCGGGGTGGAGTCAGAGAGGGCGCTTGACTGGAAATGGCCGGGGCGGCATCTAGGGTAGACACCTGCTGTCGGGCTCTGTGGGTGTGCCGGGGCCTGCCGGGGGTGTCAGTGAAGCCCCGTCCACCAAGTCCCAGGCGTTTACATTTCAGTGTAAATCCCAACAGAGAGGTGGCAACAGTGATGGAAACAAAGCATTTATTTCTATTTGTGACTTAACCAGCCACATTACCACTAATTAATACTAAATTAACGGTCTTTGTTCTTGGCCCTGTGTTAGCCAGATTATTCCCACTTGACCCTACTTGATAGAATTTCACTGTTTAATAGAGCTGACACTGACACAGGCTGGTACAGATGTAGAAAAACTAGATAAATACAATAATGAGTGAGTATTAATAAATGTTCAATAAACACGGAGTAGCAAAAAGCCAGTTTGCAATGAACAGTGATGTGGGACAAGGAGGAGAAAATGGAAAGCAAAGACAGACTGAAGAGTCTCTCAGCCACGCCTCTGAGACGTGACCTCAGGACCTGAGTCTGCTCCAGGTCAATGCTGAGGCCCACGTTGCAGACTGACATTCACGGTGGCCCCTCTGTGTTCTATTAACTGCATTTTTCCTTTAAAAACTTTTCCCATCAACTAACCCAGATTCCTCTGAAAGTGGAGCAGGCTCCCAAAGCTCTCTCCCCGTTTTCTCAACAGGAGCTGGAATGTTCTGACTTTTGGGTAATTCCTTGATTCTGAGGCTGTGATTGCTGTTCAGTCACAGAGATCCGTGGGAAGGGTGAATGTTACACAGGCTTTTCCATTTCAGCCACTCGGCAAAGGGGAAAAGCTTTCCCAGAGTCCCCCTGTGCCTGGGGTGGGGACTACGCTGCCTCCCAACATTCTTCCCTTCTTCTGTGACAGAATTCCCGATGTTCCCTGGGCACCTGTTCACCCAGAGTAAGGACTACATAAAGTTCCTTCCTTCCCACCCGCCTCCAATAGCACTCCCCTCGGACCTCAGCGTCACGACCGTATGGGACAGTCCTGCCTGTGGGCGGTGCAGGGAACATGGGCGGCCACACATGTTAGCCAACCCAGAGGGAAGGTGGCTGCAATAGTGAACCATGCGAGCGGCAGGAGAGTGGCTGCATGCGATGAAGCCGGGCTGCCCTCCAGTGCCGGCTCTGGCTCCAGCGATGCGCGCTGTGCTGCTCCCTTTGTGGGGCCGGCCTTGGTGAGCAGCCCGCCGGGCCGGGAGGGGCTGCCCGCCCGGTGGCCCCGGCGCGCGTCCTGGGAGCCCGTTTGGTGGCGCCTGGACGGCCCGCACCTCCCAGGGAACAGCCTTCTGTCCGCGTCAGCCGGGCGCCCACGTCCCTTCTCCCTCCGTCATCCTCCCTCCCCGTCTTTGTGCTGCAGTGTGTGCGCCTCCTGCAGAGACCGCGCCTCCGGGTGCAGGAGCCTGACCCGGAGCTGCCGCGCCCGCCATGGAGCTGTACGGGAAGGTGAGCGAGGGCCCCGGGGTTCCGCGGGCAGCGCCTTCGGACCGGTGTTTGTGTGTGTGTGTGTGTGTGTGTGTGTGTGTGTGTGTGTACGCCTGAGCGTCGTGTGCATGCATGTGACAGTGCGCGCGCACGTGTGCCTGTGTGTGCACGCGCGTGCGTGTGAGGGTGTGTCCGTGTGAGCGGGTGCGCGCGTGCGTGTGTCAATGTGAGTGAGTGTGAGAGTGTGTGTGTGCGCGCGATTGTGCGGGCACCCACTTTGCTCTTGTGAGTGCTGCTCGTCGTCTTCTCCCCGCGTGCTTGGGTGACAGTATGTCACCAGCCCCCTTGTCTGTGGAATAAACTTTCTGGGTCGGGGCGGCAGGTGCAGGGCGGAGAGTGGGACCCGCGCGGGCGTCCAGCGGTCCTGGGTGTTGCTGTTGGTCTTCAGCACCGGGCAGCGCTCCTATCGGGAATACAGTGGAACCAGAAGCCTGCTGTGAGCCGAGCTAGGGTCACGGTCGCCTGCACGGGGGTTGGGTGGAGGTGGAGGACGGGCGGCCGGGCTGAGCCCGGTCCCAGCAGAAGTAACGGGCCTAGCGGCCGGGGGCGGCGGCGGTCCGGCCGCTGAATCGCCCGGAGTCATAGTTCCAGGCTCGCAGGCTCCAGGACACATCCCGGGCTCGGACTACAACTCCCAGGAGCGCGCGCGCCGGCGGGAGTGCGCATGCGCTCAGGCGGGGACAGCGCCGGTGCTGATCTCGGGCGGGTCGGCGGACCCGGAGCGGAGCGGGGAGCGCGTGCCCGGCCAGCGCCGTCGTCCCCGCGAGCGAGGACCGAGAACAATGAGGCACGAAGCTCCGGTGCAGGTGGGTCTGGGCGGAGCGGGCGGCCTCGGAGGGACTGACCGGGGGTGCTCGGCCAGGCGACTCGGTGCGCGGACACACGGTCCCCGCGCCGCGGGCTGTGCGGGCTGGGGCTCCGCAGGGACCCGAGCGCTCCCGGGAGCCGGGAGCCGGGAGCCAGGAGCCGGGAGCCGGGAGCCGCACCGTCTCCTCGGGCCTGTGGCCGCGGGGCGCGCACGGGCGTCGGACCAGCGGGCGCCCAGCGGTGCTGGGGTCTGGACGGCCGAGCGCCTCGGGGAGCGGGAAGGAGGAGGGGCGGCGTGTGCTGGTCCGCGGCCCGCCCTCCGTCAGGGCCCGCACAGCCTCCCAGCACGGGGGCGGGGGAGGGCGGTGCGGGTTGGGGAAGGGCGCGTAGGGTTTGGCGCACCCGAGAGGCTCTTGCCCTCTTACCCAGGCTGGCTCATCCCTGCCCTTCACCTCTGACCCCCGCAGGTTCACCTTTGACTGGGCAGGTTCAGCCCTGCCCTTCACCTCTGACCCCAGAGGTTCCCTCCTGCCCCCAAGCCCCTGCTTCCCCCCAGCGCTGGGCCCCGTCCCTCCCCCTGGGGTCGCTTCCCTGGCCACAGGGCTTGAGCATCGCGATTACATTTATTTTCAAGTGAAGACGGTGAAAGGTGAAAGGTGAACGGGGCATCGGCCTGTTTCCCCGCCGCGCACAGCAGAAAGGCCCGGGGGTGGGGTTGCAGGAGAGTGGGGCTCTCCATTTGCCACTGGTGTCTCTCCGAGGACCCACCTCTGCTGCCACATCCAACAGTATAAATACTTGACCGTAATTCCTGCTTAAACGTTTTCCACTGATACTCTTCATGAATCAAGGGCGTTGAGCATATGCCTCTGTTTGCCTTTCATCCATTTTGTAGGCCATGTGCATTAAGGTAGACAGTGATTGGGTTGTTAATGAAAAATCCAGTCTGTAGGATCTCTTTGTTGAAGGGCTATGTGATGGAAGCCCTCCAGTTGCCTTGTGAGTTACTGGAAACCTGATTTCTTCCCGAGGACCGGCGCCCCATTGTGTGTTTCCTGTCACTCTGCTTGTGACTTGGCTTTTCATTATGAACTGATGTGAAAACAGTCTGGACAGACAATAAAGGGACAGGCGGTGGCAATCAGGATGTATTGGCTTATGATAATCTGCCCTTGCTGGCAATCCTGCCAGGAGCTAACTGGCTCAATTAGTTGTATTTGATTAGAAGTAAACATTGACAATGGAGTTTGCAGGTAGATGGGTAGTAGTTAAGTCAACCCTCTATATGCACTGAAGTCAAAATAAATTATGAAAACACACTGCATCTTGATTTTTATTTTGTACAAGAGTTGCTTAGAATCTTTAGAGGGTCACTAAAATGTTACAAAATTGAATGAAATTAATGCCTTAGGAAATGTTTTAAATTATTTCATATAACTATATAGTAGGCACTGAAATGAAGAATTAATATAAAAATAGGTGATGAAATAAATTTGTTCAGGAATGCAATTATTTTCAAATTTATGATATACTTTATTCATTGGACTAGATTTTTGAGATTTAAAAAATTAAATGCCCCAAAACTATCATGAATAATATGGACATTTTAAGAAATAAAAAAATCTAATTTTCTGTAATATATTTATTTAAAGCACATTCATTGATTCAATTGAACAAGTATTATAAATTGTTGTTTTGGGTGGCCAAAACATTATAATCAGGTTTTCAAACATAATGATAGGAAAAATAAAACCTATAAACATGCTTTATATTTCTTAAGTGCCAATAACATCTCAGCACCCATACTTCTGAAGCACAATCCTATTCTGGGAGACTTTGCTATATGAAAATGCAATGAGATAAATAGTTGACATTTCTTTTTCTTTTCTTTTAAAACTGAATAAACTACATCATTATTTTAAATATACGTCCCAATTTTTACTTAGGTTTCTGGAATATGAGTAACAAGCAAAATTTCATCCGATGATTACATTATCTTAAGATTCTTTTCAGCAGTTAAAAAGATTTAGTTTGTTTATTGATGTGGAACAAAGTGAGCTCTTTAATTCTTGATTTCCTATTTTACTTGTTTATTTTCTTAAATAAAAGAAGCCTTTGAAAATTATATAAGGTCTTTTAAATGTGTTCTGTTCAAGGTAGTTGTTTTTGAAATAGGCATATATTTTTTAAAACTATTGCTCTTTGAGTTGATACAAAGTGATGGATAATAATTGTTTTTTATAGTGACTATTAAAATAATGTACAGTGATAATACTTGGCACCTGTATTTCCTTCATAACTAAATAACCAGGAGTTGCACTGGTTAAGTGTTCCAAGTGATGGGCTCGCATGTCAGTGCAGGAGATGGTCAGTGTGTGCCTGCTGCTTCAGTGCCTGCACCAATCCGGAGGCCGAGTGACCTGGGCAGGAGCAGCACTCACGAGGCAAAGACTGATGGACAAACTGTCATTTGACTCAGGAGCCGACCGAACAAATTCCAGTTCATTGAGAGCTCTGTCTGCACCAAGCACCACTGTGCCTTGCATTCAGATCGCGGGGTGTGTGTGTGTGTGTGTAAAAATATAAAACCGTCCTAGAGGTCACCATTTCTCATTACAGCCACAATGCTGCAGCTTATTAAGAATGAAGAACTTTCCCAGCATGGTGGGTTTGAGACCCTGCCAGAGCTCTGTCTAGAGAGCCCAGGCTCTTCCTTGTGGTTTTGGGCTCCCCAAGAAGATGCGGAAGGGGATTGTGCAGAGTGAGGGCTCTATTGATGTAAATTAATCCCTTCGTTCTGTTTGGAAGGAAGATTTGTCTCTATGTTCTGTTTATAAAACAAACACGTATGAAGTAAACCAAATATTTCAGAAGGGCTAGTGTTGTAAAACAGCTGGCTTTTGCTTCCTGATTTTAATTTCCTGCAGGTTTGCTTACTCTCTCACAGGACCAAGTGGGATGGATCCATCGTCTGTCATTAAATGCTTAGTGTTCAGTTTTGTTACCCACAAACTTTTTAAGTCATCTCATCAATGCAGAGCCTTCTGACTATTTGGCCAATTTCAAAGGAAAACATCTACCCAATGTATGAAGCAGGGTGTCAAGACAAAATAAAAATAAAAGAGGTTGTTTGGCTAAAAATGAGAAGGATTGAAGAAAGAATATAGATGCAGGCTGAAGATGAAGTTGAGGTGAAAAGCCATACTCGCTATTAAACATAGTCATGCTGTATAGAAACAGTCATTGTTTCATTTGACCATGAAAAGGACATAGCACTCTTGCAGTTCATTACTGTTGAACTTCTGACCCTGTCTAGCTTCAATGATGATCCCTTTATCTTTATAAGAAATGGAAATTTAGTTCCCATCTCTTATAGAAACGGAGAAAAACCTGGTTGACATTGGAGAAATGGTCCTCCTCCATTTGAGCAAATTTCTTAAGTGCCCACCTTTCCGCTGTGAGTATAGAAAGGGAGGTTAGCCTCATGGTGTGAAAATGACTTTCCAGTTCCACGTTTCAGTCCAAGAAGGTGTGGGTTCATTACATGCATAACCACAACTTCCCTGCCATTTTAAGCGTATACTGGAACTAGAAATTCCTTTCCTCACCATCATATTCCAGGAAGGAACGAGATTTTCGTGCTCAGGGATGGGTTTTCCTGTGATTGTTCTGACACCAAGGACACTCAGCTTACTGTTTATCAACAGCTGTGCTATTTCAGTTGTGCCACCTGAAATAAATGCTGTGGAGGTTAAACATTTCCCCCTTTTCATTCGCTAACTGGGTTCCAAGGTTCTAGAGCAGGGGAATGTCTGGCATGCAGGCCATATGAGGCCCGTGAACTCATTTTGTCTGGCCCTGCCAAGACATTAGGGGTGAGTTAATTAAATGTTTGACCAGCTATAGCATCTGATTTTAAGTTGACAATTCTGTATGGCCTGTGAATGATGTTATAAATATCTGATTGGCCCTTGGCAGAAGGAATGTTCCCCACTCCCGGGCTAGAGGTACCATTGTAGTGGGTCACTGTTTACTGCCAAGGACGCTGTTAACTGTGAAGATAACACCGTTAAGATTCATTTTGAATGACATAGACCTTCAGCATTTCTCATTTGTTCATTTATATTTTTTTGAGATATTCATATACATTGAAATGCAAAAATCTTTCGTGAGCACTTTGATGAACTTTGGTAAATGGATATACCTTTGTACTATACAGCACTCTAAATATATAGGACATCTCCAACCAACCCCCACACTTTCTTTATTCATGTTCTTTTTCCAGCTAATCCACTAACACAATAGTCTTAACTTTTTTCACTTAAATCAGTTCTATTGTAGAACTTTAAGTAGTTCTATAAAATATGCAATATCAAAATACAGTACAACATACAGCAGGCACTCTCAAGTCCAGCTTATTTTCCTCAGAGTAGAGTCTCGAGGATCCAATATTGTTGCATTTATCAATAATTCACTACAGTCCATTGATGTGTATTATACAGTTGTATCAATCTGCCATACTCTTTCAATCCATTCAATGGACTTGAGGTAATTTCCCATTTGAAGCTATTACGATGAAAACTGTAAACATTATTGCATTGGTCTTTCTATAACACAAGATTTACATATAACTTGGGTAAATGCCTAGAATTGGAATTGCTGGTATCAAAGGTAAGTGCATGTTCAACAGTATAAAGAACAGTGAAACCTGGAGCCCTGTGTAGTATCCTGACCTTCCCGTTTGACCTTCCCACCAGCAATGTGAACATTCCAGTGGCCCCACAGCCTCGACAGTGTTGGCAGTGTCAGTGGCCTTTCTAATGTCAGCCCCCTCATGGTGCTCTGTGGTGTCCCCCTGTGACATGAATTTGCATTTTCTTGATGACGAGTGACGCTTTGCATATTTCCATCTGTTTCCTGGCCATCAGTATGTCTCCTTTTCTGACATATCTGTTTAGCCTTTTGTCTGTGTCAGGCTGTCTTTTTATTGTTTAGTGGCAGGAGAGCTTTATAATTTTGAAATTAGTTCTTTAAGTATATTTAAAATATTTTCTGCTAGGGTGTAGCTTGAATATTCATACTCTTAATATATTTGTATGAGTTTACCACCCAAAGTCAAATCTTGGATGGAATCTTTATAGCAAATCTCTGGAAACATTTTTTGAGAGCTTAAATATTTAAAAATAACATTTAATATTTTTTAAGTATTGAACAATGACTATTTCTTGGGAAACACATATATTAATATTAAAATTTGGTTTCCCGTCGGGAATTTTTAGAGTATTTCACTAGGTGTTTTTGAGGGAGGTTTTCCTTATATGAATATGAATAGCTGGGTGTGTCCATTATGTCTCTTTCTTATTATCTGGAAGGGACTCTTGCGAGAGACATTCTTCATCTCTCGGTTCCAGTTGGAGGCAGCACTGCAGCTCCGGTGCTTTCTCATGGTGCATGGGAAGCAGAGTACAGCTGTGTTATTTTCAAAATGACTGATGGAGAAGGTCAAGGCCACCTTCCACAGCTGGCTGAGCAGGACCCCGCTCTGCTCTGAGGACATGCTGTCTGCCCTAGCTGGTATGACTCAGCAGATAGAGCATCAGCCTGTGGACTAAAGGGTCCCGGGTTTGATTCTAGTCAAGGGCACATGCCCTGGTTACAGACTCAGTCCCCAATAGTAGGTGTGCAGGAGGCAGCCAATCAATGATTCTTTTTCTTCATGGATGTTCCTCTCTCCTTCTCCCTTCCTCTCTGAAATTAATTTTTTTTTTTTAAAGGAAGGACACAGTGCCTTCTTCTTACTGGGTGGACCTGCTCATGTCTGACAGGGAGTTACAAGGGGTCACATCACAGCTGACCCCTCAGTGGGCCCAGCCTCTCCCTGGTGGGGGTGGGGTGGGGAAGAGTTTCCAGAACTCAGCTTGTCTGGGCAGCGGGCATCCAGTGTGCAGACCTTTTGCAAAGCTCAGCGCCCAGGGTGAAGGATTTGCGCCAAGATGGCCAATTCCTCAGAGAAGACCTCCACTGTAGAGGTCGCATGCATGGATGTACACATTCAACACCATAATAAATTCATTGTTTTGTCTTCTATCTGATTTGCATTTTGACCAGGGTCTTCAATGAATACATTAAATTCTTATTGATCAAACTTATAAATGACACAAATATGGAATGGATAACTATTTTTTATGAAAGGACATAAAATGATCAGATCTGAATTAAATCACAGATAAAAGCAAACAAAAGAAAACGTAATAGGGTCAATATAAAGACTGACATTTCTATTAAAAATAAATTGCCCAAGGATGGGCCAGGATTGAGGAGACCTGTGTGTGTGTGACAATTTATGTGAAAAGTACTGAGCCTTTCAGGAATCTTTACAATCAGTCACGTGTGTTGGGACATAGCGGCATACTTTCCCCTGTGCCAACCACATGCGGGGCTTCGACCCCGGAGAGATGTCCGTGTGAGCCTCGCCGCTGGGACTACCCAGCAGGAGCAGGTGATGCTTTGGGGCCGTGTTGGCCCCTGAGACACCAGGGGTCCCTCTGATGGGGGAGGAACCGCCGGCAGAATTTAGAACACACGGGCAGGAGCTACAGGAGGGAATTGTCACCAAACCCTAGAAAGAAATGTATAGTATTGCAGTTGTTTAGCCATGACAGGTTGCTCCAGAGCCTGGCTCCCTCCTGCCCCCCCTCCCCCCCGTGGGAAGGGCAGGGCAGGGTCTCCTGAGCCTGGGTGCTGGGAAGGGGGCTGGGGTGAGGGAGGTGGCACTGCCCTCAAGACTTGTTTTCCTCTGTGGTGCTTTTGTTGGAAATCAATTCAAGATGAATGGAATTCAAAGAGTTATCTTCTCTATATCCTTTATGAAATCCAGTTTGCTCTGTGGGAGGTTACTTCATGCCTATTCATATTTCCAGATTTCAACTCTATTTTTCCACGAAAATGTGGAAAATATCCGCATGAGTTGGTGTGTAGGGCGTCAGTAAACTCGCTCAGCGAGTGCCTGTGATTCCCTCTGTTCCCGTCAAACTGCCTCGTCTCTGTCCTCAGCAAGGCGCCAGCCTCTGTCCACCCTCTGAGCCAGGATTTTCTTTATTTCAAAGTTTAATAACACTCGTGTATTCCCATGCACAGCTTCTTGGCTCTGTGTAAGTCTTATTGGGGATATAAACGAGGAAATAGTAACAAAAAATCTTCCAGAATAGTGGTTAGCAAACTCCTCTCATTAACCCTTCAGAGGCTCGGGGTCCCCATCCCCGCAGCTCTGCCTCTCTCACCCCAGCCCTCTGTGCCCACCCTCCCTCTGTGCCACCCTCCTCACTGCTCCCAGCACAGAGCATTAGCAGCGCAGGATGGACAGCGAGTTCCTGTCCCGGGAGAGCTGCCCGGGGGTGTCTGTTCTCACTGTGCCTGACTGCACGTGGCCAACCCAGAACCAAGATCTGGGCTGCTTTCCATAGAGATGGTGACAGGCTCCCAAAAAGGCACTGGCAGGCTGACTGAGCAGCTGCATGAGGTGAGCGTTCCCTGCTGGGAGGACATCGGCAGGAATGTGTCTGGCATCAGCCCCCAGGTGGTCTGGGCACCAGGGGCCTCAGAGCCACACCCCCTGGCTCGCCAGACCTCATGGTTAAGTCCTGGGTTCGCCCTGAGTCAGAAAGGGAAGTGGGGGCACCTGCCCTTTAGTGGCCAAGCCTTCCCTCTGGCCAACGCTGTGCACGTCGTAGTGAGTGGAGACCTCTGCGTGGTTACTTAGGAAGCGAGTGTGAGTGCAACCAGCATGCTATATGTCGACTGGCTTTCCTTTGTCCTTGTTCTCACACACACAATTGAGATCTCCTACTGGCAGTGTTTGTCGAAAGGGAATATGTTATCTCACTGTCTCCCTTTCTTCATGGCCCTCAGATGTCTGTAAGCACACACACATGCACAGGCACACACACACACACGCACACGCACACGCACACGCACACGCACATCGTACACCTGACCACAACAACCTTGGTGTGGGAAAGGCTGAGCACTCGGTTCTGTTTCTAGTGTCTGCCCCCTGTCCGCTGGCCTCTCTCTTTGCTGCCCCCCGCCACCCCCCCCCCCCCCCCCCAGGAAGCTGTAATGTTGATCCGATTCTGTGGGAAATGGAAAGGATGGTGTGGTCTTGCTCTGCCCTGAGGACTCTGTCCTGAGGACTGTGCTGGTGCCTGCCTGTCCAGTGCAGTGACCATGGGCGCCTGTGATGTGTGGCAGATGGTCATTTGGATGATTATTTCATTCCATTTCACTGACATTATAAAAGGCGACGGTGACCAGTAGTGATCACTGGAGAATTCGTGGCATCAGAAAAGGGGCAGGAAGACTATGTGACTCGGTGTTCCTTCCACATGCCTCTTCTGTGTGAGCCCGATGGCACCGGGAAGGAAGGCTGCTTGGTTTCTGGGGATGTTAGGACGATCATTAAAAAGAAAGAGAAGTCACAGCCTCTGAGAGGCACGTGTGATTAACACAGAGCATTCTCTGCTCCATGCTGCTGAGCCTCCAGCCCTCCTTTTAATGTGGGGACAACGAGGCCCCGCCCCCTGCACAGTCGTGAGGGCAAAGGAATGATGGCCCGGCACGTTGTGTGAACCGTATGTGCTTGCCATGTCATTGTTCTCAATTTGGGAGAGCTGCCGTGTGTTCGGCCGCTGTTGTAACGCAACAGGAATAGAGGACACAGACACCGGGGTGTGCTTGCCCAGGAGGCCGGAGCCTCTAGTCATTTGTGCTGCCTTTTCCGGGGAGGAGTGGGGGTGGGGGGGAGCCCACATGCCCAGCTGCCCTCACATCTTTGCTTCTCAAGTCGCCCATGGGTGTCCCCTTGGTGCTCGGGTCGGCTGAGTGCCGAGCGGGACCAGCACCAGCGCAGAGGGGCGGCTGTGGGCCTGCCCCACCTTGCAGGGCACTGAGGGCCATGGACACGCCTCAGGGACAGAGCCACTGCCCGCCCCCAGGGCCTGACATCTGCTCACCGCCCATGCGAGTGGGAGCTGCTGCCGTCCATGGTGGGCTGACCCCTCCTTGTTCCCCCACAGATGGCCACCGCCCAGGACGCCCGGTCTGGCCAGAAGGACTCCTCGGACCAAAACTTTGATTACATGTTCAAGCTGCTCATCATCGGCAACAGCAGCGTGGGCAAGACCTCCTTCCTGTTCCGCTATGCCGACGACTCCTTCACGTCTGCCTTCGTCAGCACCGTGGGCATCGACTTCAAAGTGAAGACCGTGTTCAAGAACGAGAAGAGAATCAAGCTTCAGATCTGGGTAAGTGGCTGTGCTGAGTGTGCTCGGTCCTGGGCCGGCAGCTCGTGAGGAAGAGGGAGTTTTAAAATTGAGGCTCTGGTGTTACTTAAGGGTGGTCAGACCGACAGGTCAGCAGACAGCTGCCACCCACACATTGGGTTGAACTCACGGATCCCAAGCCAATCCCCGGGAGGTCAGGAGCAGAGGGAGATGGCCTGTGGCAGGAGCTCCTGTGGCGGTGTCAGGAGTCTGCCCGTTCTTAAGAAGAGACCACATGGCAGAGAAAATAGGGGAGTTCCTTGGGAATTCCGGCGTGAAGGAGATGAGGCAGTGTGTGCTCTCAGCCCCTGTGCTGCAGGAACCCTGCATGTGGATACCGAGGTGACTAGTTAGGGTGTTCCCCCTACCTTCTTGTGTTGTCCAGACAGATCCCTGTTTCTAATAACATTTCCTGGGCTCCTCTCACTGTAATTAGCAGGGCTTTCCCTATTTTTATCTGCATAAGCGAGCGAGGAGGTAAAGTCTGACAGGCAGGAGAGTGTTTGCGTAGTTCCGGTGCATCTGATGACTTGTGAGCTCAGCTTCCACCTCCCCATGTACTGAAGGTCCACTATCCCCTCCTCATCGTGACCCTGGGTGCAACTCCAGATCACACATTACCAGCTCACGCCCCAAGGCTACTGTCTGACTCAGCTTCTCACAACTCACCCTGTTACACCTACCACTTCCCAGGAGAGCGCTGATTTGTGGGAAATAAGAGTCATGCTTTTTCAGGGAAAACACTTTGATGTAGATGACAATTGATGGTTGTTGTCTTAATTAACCTTATAATCTGCATCCAGCCTTCACAATTTGATAACATTATAGCCAGTGCAACTTGCATTCCAATTTTTATGAAATAATGAAATAGAAGAACAATTTCTGAAGACAACGTGGAGAGAGAAAAGAATTAGACTTTACTTGGGCCCTAAAAACAGCCATAGGCATGACCAGCAGCACCGAGTGGGGGTGTCCTGCACCCTGAGGCCATGGGAAGGCCTCCATGTAAGAATCACATGGGTTTTAGAGCATGGAGGTCTTCGAGGACAGGACTTCCATCACCTGCTAGTGGACCCTCCCCTTACCCGTACCTGGGAACCTCAACGGACAGGCAGCAGGTCCCGCTTGTATGTAACTGGTAATTAGCTGGTCAGACGGACCGCTAGTCAACCTGCCACATTTCCGTTTGCAAATTTAGGCAAATTGCTCCCAGGAGAAAACATACACACAAGTGCCTGATTGGGCTCCATGTGGACGCAGGGCTGAACATCCTGATTTCCCAGCTTCCAGGCATTCAGGGCCTCCTGAGGGCCCTCCTTAGCCGCCCACATGTGACCTGGCTCCTGAAAGCCTTCCTGCTCCCGTTCATCACCTTCTCGGTTCACGTAACTGCTGCCGCTCGTGTGTATTCTGGGGCATTGCAGACACCAGAGCGAGTTTCCTGGGGGACGAGAGCAATGAAGTCAACACTGGTGTCAACCTTGTCCTTGGTTGTCAAGAGCAAGCACCACGAGGGTGGAGGACGCTGGTACCTTCACGCACTGCTTTCCTGGCTCCTCTGTAAGTGTCCTCTGAGCAGAGCTCAGCTTCCTCCACAGGAGGGTGTGTGACACAGGAGCAGCACCTGCTCTCCTCCTCCTGGTTGCCATGCCTTGAATTTGATGGGCTGTGTATTGTACCCCTGTGGACACAGTGTGGCTGGTGACTAGACTTAACTCTGTTAAAGCAACCACCAGAGTGAGTGTGGGAAGTGCAGTTAAAACTCAGTTAAAAAAGCAGCTGCGTCGGGAAGTTGAAGGGCCAGGAGCCCTGGGGGTAGAGTGCCCAGCCTGGATGGAGCCCTGGGCACAGCCTGTGAGTGCTGTCGTCCTCCGTGAGCTAGCTCCTGAGGCTGAACGCCCGGCCCCATGGAGGTCTGGTATCTGTGACTTCATCACGTGCAGACTCAGCAGATTAGCCGTGTAGAACCAGTGCTAGGGTGGCAGCCAGAGCTTCCCATCAAGCAAATGTCATGTTGGGCTGGAACAGGTGCCCAGCTCAACAGCAGCCCTGTTATTCAGCATCACATGCTGTTCCCATTTCGTAGAGGGAAGCTGAGGGACATGGATCCCAGCTGTATTCCTCCGGTCGCAGGCAGAGCCGGAATGGGACACTGGTGGCCTGTGCTCAGTCACCACCACCCATGGACCTCCCAGCGCTGGTCAGGGAGGCCCAGAAGCCTTAGCGTCAATAAGGTAAACAGTGATTCTCTTCCCCATCGCCGGTTTGGAAATATTGAAACAATGCCCCTAAGAATATGAGTTAGCCCTTCCAATGAGTTTCAAGGAAACTGTTATTCATGAGGTTTCCCGAGGAAAACCTGTCAGCAGTGTCATCTTCACTAGTAACCCATCCTCACCAAGAACTCAGAGTGAGTGGGCCATCCTCACTTGGGGAATACCTGAGCCCACACTGGCTGCAGGCCCACATCGGCTGTAAGACCCACACCGGCTGTAGGACCCACAACTACCCACAGGGCCCACATGGCTGCAGGAATCTCAGACCCCAGCCTGTGGCAGGCAGAGACCCAGGGTGTGGGCAGAGTTGGTGGCTGGTCAGGACTATAGAGATGTTACCAGCATTGCTGACACTACAAATTAGATTTTCCAGTTTTCAGTTCTCATGCTGCCTGTGATTCAGCATCACGTGTGCCTCTTGGGGCTGCAAGAATCACCTCGTCAGGATGAGGGAAGGAGGGAAGTGGCTGGGACGTGGCAGGTTGTGGGAGGAAATGCCAAAGGGAAGAGGGAGAGGGACCCGAGGAGCTCCATCAATGAGGGAAGAAGGGGTGAGTGGGGTCTGGATGGGGAGGCTCGGTTGGATGGGCATCCTCTCATGCACTGAGAGGTCATGGTTTGATTCCAGGTCAGGGCACATGCCCGGGTTGCAGGCTCGATCCCCAACAGGGGATGTGCAAGAGGCAGCCGATTAGTGATTCTCTCTCATCATTGATGTTTCAGTCTGTCATCCCTCTCTAAAGTATATTTTTAAAAAAGGTTAAAGAAGTCCTCAGGACAAGGCCAGGGAAAAGGAGGAAGCAGGACCTTCCAGCCTCTGTCAGTTCACCCGGGACTGGTTCCCCTCTGCAGCCCATCTTTAACGCCTTAAGGGCCGGTGAGTTTGGGCCTCTCCTCTGGACGAGGAGGTGCTCAGCAGGTCGCAGGTGATCAGTGACTGTCGCTGGAACTGAGCACATTGCACAGGTGTCTTTCATCCTACAGGTGGCAGGCCTGGTAGTTCTGCTGAAGGACTTAGCCCTCAGCACTCATTCACTGGGGTTTCTATCTAGACACAGAAGGTCTAGGAAACCAGCCCGATAACCGTGTGAGGCAAGGAGAACTATGGTGCTGCCCAGCTCTCTGGCCTGGCTGTCTCTGCATGTACACCGTGCGTGCGTGCGTGCGTGTGTGTGTGTGTGCGCGCGCAGACACAAACTGCAGTGAGTAATCATCAGCAGGTGTCCTGACTGGTCTCTTTTTTAGAGCTAATTAACAGAAGTTTTAGCAGTTACTCCTCTGACAACTGAGTTCTATGGCTGTTTGTGTCTGTCTTTTCTTTGTTTTGTTTCTCATACTCATCCTCCCTCCTCACCCCAACCCTCTACCCCACAACACACAAACACAGTTTAATTCTTAGGGCTGCTCTTCTTCTCAAATGGGCAAGAGAAGAGGACTCTTATCAATACTTCTCTGGAAACAGATTTGTAAGTAACAGGGTGGACTCTTTGCCCACCCAGGACACAGCCTAGTGATGCTAACATGTTGAGGTGAGATCCCAAAATGGGCATTTGGTCTACGGCCATACCACCCTGAAAGCGCCCGATCTCATCTGATCTCAGAAGCTAAGCAGGGTCGGGCCTGGTTAGTACTTGGATGGGAGACCAAAATGGGCATTTGTATTTTTTTCCTAATGTTTTGAATTAGATTTTCTCTACTCTGCTCACCTATGAAATCCCTAGAGAAACAGGTCAGATAAACCCATTTGCCCCTGATTGGATTAGTGTGAGGAACTGGCCACCTTATTCTTTAGCCATAAGTGAGTCACTCTTTCCTCTTCATACCATGAGGTTGTGTTCTGATGGATGCAGGCACTCTTGGACTGGGCGGATCAGTCTAAACTTACCCTAACCAAACAGTGACCTTTTCAAGGACAGAGCACCATGGACAAGCAAACCTGCCCTGTTTCCACTAAATAGTCACGTGTTAGAGCATGAAGACAGTTCCTGATGGGTGACATTTAAAAACACAAAGCGTGTGCAGCACAGTAATGTGGGAGTCGGGTTGCTTACAATGTCAGTACATCCCCACATAGAGGCATGTCCCTTTCTACTGCAGTGTTTTCTATCCTCCAAGCTTAGCTAGTAGAATGTTTATGCACTTAAATGTTTAGCTAATGTATTTGTCAAAAAAATAAATAAATTGATGTGCCATTTATCAGGAATGGGTGTGTATTTAGACAATATATACTAGTTAGAAAGTTACATTCAGGGAAAAGGAAGCTGCTGAGGTGATGTTTGGAGCAGTGGGCCGAGCATGAAGTCAGCGGCACACGGGACACAGGCCGTGAAGGAGCAGCCGGGGCAGCGAGGCGCCCGTTTTCATTGTGGAGGTGACAGCGACGTTCCATTCTATGGAAGTCAAACCAGGCGCTCTCCTGCTTCACCAGTGTCATGAGACTCCCCTGGGCCTTCACATATGTCACATGTGTATAGATTTACACACTGTGTCTGACACACATGCAGTCACTATTCAAACCTGTACCGAAGGATAGCGAGGGTGCTTTGCCGAGCGTGAGGCTGTCATTGTCCTCATGGGGCTCAAAGGCTCTGTGACCACAGCCCTCCGAACGAATGCATTTCCCTCGTGACCCAGTTCCCACACCCGCAGACACCCTGGAGTCTGCACTCGGCACTGTGGGTGTGCCTGGTTATTTCCTCTGACCCC